AAAATGGGCCACTTGACCTAAATCTTCCTCCCAGCTAGGCCCACAGTGGTGGTAAGAACGTGAGGGGAGGCTGTGGGTAATATGACCCACACATTTCCCCTGCCCCCTCTCAGTTCAATAACATTTAATGACAAAGGGAGGAACAGAGGAATTTCCCACACCAATAAAATCAGGAGATGATTTAATATATTGATTGCTGTTTTAATTAAATTAAACTGAGGTGGCATTTTAAATGGTAAGAGATAACTAAAACAGGATCTTTTATAGACATTATCTTTGTGTTTGAAAAACAAGTGATGCATGGTATTAGTTTTCATTTGGCTTCTTGATTGTGAAAAATCAACAGTAAAACAGTTAGTCAGGATTTTCAAGCAAGCAGTATTTGAAAAGCATATTAAAATACACTTGCCCCAGACAACATTGGATCCTAAGGGGAATAATGTTATTGAGACTTTATCCTAGTAAATCTACTATTGGGCAGATTTCAAATATTTGTACATATTTGAAATTTTCTGTATGTGCCAGTGATTCATGCCATTTTTATGAACAATTAATATTTAAACCTACTTTTACTGATAATAAAAATGAAGTGAAATATTTCTGAGTGAAGAAAATTCTACTACCAGCAAGTTATTTTTAAAATATGAAAATGAATGTAAAGAAACTAATTATAAAGGAATAACTCTTTTATGGCAGGTAAAATCATGTCCAGAATAACACAAAATATAATTTGAGCCATACAGTATAATCTACCAAACCTAAATTAACCTAAGATTCCAAGGTAAATGAAACACTTCAAAAAATCAATTGAACTTGACAAATTTTGAAGACATTTCAAGAACCGATATTTTTTAAATTGACAGAATTTTTCTCATAAAGTGAAGCAACTAGCAAGCTTGTAGTCAAATGCACATCTACCATAAGTGTCCTGAGCAACATGTACCTAATCTAACAGTAATGAGCAATTACTGTTGCAATAGTAAACATATTAATTTTCTTCATAAGCTGAAAATCCTAATCTTTGTTCATGTGTTACAAGGCGCTATAAACTCAAAATGCTTACAGTTCTGCTTTCTGAGGTAGGAAAGAGGTGGGTCACAGGTGTCGTAATTTGGCAGGCTATATTCCTGATCCTGACAGTTCCTTTCATGCTCTCTTTTCTAAATACCATGAGTTGAACATGTTTTCCTACACTGCGCCCCTCTGTTATCTGTGTTATGCCTTAGAACCAGTGAACCATGAACTGAAATTTTGAACCAAAATCAACATTTCCTCCTTTAAATTGCGGGAGTCAGATACTTTGTTCCAGAAACTCAAAAGTAACTAAGGCAGAACCTAACAAGAAGCAGCATATGGGAGACTAACAAGATGATCAGAGTGTTCATTAGACAAACAGTGTATGTAAAAAAAAATTCAAAAGGGTATGTAGTATGTACATAAGAGTAAATTATGAAAGGTAGAGCAGAAGGACAAGAAGAAATGCATGGAAAATACCGTAAATTTGGTATCCAGAAGGATCAATGTGATAAAATGGAATAGAAATATTCTTTCAAGAGATTGAGATCAATTCTTTTCTAAAATTGGTAAACTATTTCAAGTCACAAGTTCAAGAGTTGCCAGCGGGTAATGCAGCAGTGACAAATCTATGAAAACAGAAAATAGGTAGGGATGGGAATAACAGTAGTAATTGACGGCAAATCAGCAATTTCCCAGAGATGATAACAATGTTCTAGAACTGAAATTTAGTAATCTTTATACAGTTCCACAAAATTACTATGTATCATTGAGCTGTGCACTTAAAGAAAGTGAATTTTACACTATGTAAATTACAACTTAATAAATATACAAATAAAGAAGGGTAAATATTAATGAAAGTGAACCTAGAAATCTAAGAGCTGCCCACTGCAGAAGAACAATGAAATAGAGTAAATACTAAAGCAACCAGATAAAACACCATACTTTGAAATCCAAAAACCAAATACTACAAGGTGCTCTTCAGTTTTATATTAATATAAAAGGATTAAATAACTTAACTAAAAGGCAAAAATTGTTATGTTGGACTTTAATATGATAACTATTTATATTTTGAAAAATAAATTTACAAAAAGGATGAATATTAAGCTTGGAAACACCATATAAGTAAATCTAGCCAAAAGAAAGTAAAAATATCTGAAACTTTTGTCAGAAATAGTAGACCTGAATGTAAAATAATAACAGTTATTAATATTATTACACAATAATAACCTAGTCAATTGTCCACTAAAATGATTTTATATGTTTACTCACTTAAAGATAACATTTCTATATTGATGGAAATTAAAAAGTAGTTGGGAACCAGAGTTGGAAATTTTAGCTCAACTCTCCTTAAATGAAAGATTATATCAAACCAAAGTTACTACTAAATCAATTAATAAACTTGACTAAAGAACAAGAACATCAAAATTTCAAAATACAATTTCATTACCAATGTGAATGATACATTTACCAAAATTACCAAGATATTAAACCAAAGACTAAATTTCAAAGGACTAAGATCACACAAATTCTTAACCATTGTAAAATTAATCAAATAAATGAAAATTAGAACAATATAATATACCATAATTTTAAAAGGAATAATATAAATGATGAGGTTTAATTATATGTATATGTATATATTATATATTATATATATTACTGTTGGATGAAAAACTGGCCAAAAGTCTTCAGCAAGCAGTGTATCCCTAAAAGTATTTATATGTGTTCTGTACTGTTGTTCATATCTTCTAATCTAGAAATGTTACTTATAAGAAAGTATTTAGAGGTAGAAAAAATTGATGTGGAAGATATTTTTCTATAGCATTATTTCCAATAATTTTAAAATTAGAAATGATATAAAAGTATCTCCCCCAATGAAGTTAGTTAGTCTGCATATGTGTATCAATAAATATTTTGCACAGGGAGTCAAAATCTGCAAATGTTTACAGAGAGAGATGTAGCTTTGAATACAGATAAGAAAATGTGCATATTATGTATGTATTTTAAATTATGGAATTTACTTATTTCATATGGAAAAAAATAAAAATGATCATAACATTTCTACCACTATTGCTGAACAATTATTATACAAATAAATAATAAAAAAGAATTCATACCATAAAATTTTAATAAAGTATAAACTATATCATGGGACTACTTTGAAAATATTAAAATGATAATAAATACTACATATATATTATATATCAGCTTCTTAACTGAACATTAAGAAGGATATATTAGGTTAAAGTCTGTTAGAGGGATGATCCTTAGTCCATTTTTATATGGCAAACCAGACTATGAAATTTTATCTGGAGCCATTAGGAAAGATTACTGTCAGTCTCTGCTTAGAGGAGTGTTAATTTCTTGGGAAACCTGTTATCACCATTCCATCCTAACATAAGTATTCTTATTTTGCAATAAGAGAGTACAGCACTGTTTTTATTCCAAATTTAAAAAATTAAAAAATCATCCAAGAATCTCAGAAACAGCTCATCCTGAGGGCAGGTAGGAAAGTGTATCACATGTATGTACCTACTACTAATAACATACCCTTTAAGGAACATGTGAACCAGGATTTCATGGCAATAAAATTTCTATTACAAAGGTACTCAGAATTAATGAAGAAATTATAGTTACATGAGCAGACCTCAGGGAAATCAGATTACTCAGAGAAAGCCATGCCAAGAAAGTGGTTTTGTTTCATTCTTGCTTATCAACCGAGTTTAGTTTTCAAATTATACTTACTTTAATATCAAACATCAAATTACAAGTGGTTGTATGTGTCATTACCAGATATATTGTTTTCATTTTTAATATTGCAATGAATCATATGGATGAAAGACTGTGTCTTAGAATATTTGCTTTTGTTAAAATGGAAAGTAGTTATTCAGCTTTGCACAATGAACAATAAGTGACAAGGTAAGACTGTTGAGTATTTCTTTCTTTTGATGGCACTGCTTGAGTTCTTCACTGCAGGTAATGGCAAAGTTTGTAACCCTGTGTACAAGCAGCAAGCCAGAGTTTTTTCACTTAAGTCAGAAGGACAGAAAATTTATCCTTTGCACAGCCAGCTATGCTAAAATGATAAATACACACATAAGAGAACTTCCAAATTAGGTAGGCTTTTTAACAATTAGACATTTAAATGCTTTATTTGAAATACATTTGTGAATGAAATTACCTATGATAATAAAAATTATTTAGGGCTGATTCAAACAATGATAAAACCCACACTTTTAATGAAATACTATATCAATTTTGAGTTGTTATGAAATATTATATATGCTATACATTGCTTGAAACTATGTTAACACAATGTTATTGACTTGCATGGCTTAGCACACAGACACACAAAAAATCTTTTATCAGTAAGGATTTGCTTACTGATTATTCTCACAAATTTTGTTACTCTCACAAGGTTATTCTCACAAATTTTGACACTATAAAATGCACAACAGAATTTTATGTAACTGGAAACTGGTCATGTTTTGAATATGTTATATAAATTGTGATTTTTTTTTCTTCTGATAAAGCTACTCTAGAACATGCGGTATGCCAGGAGAAGCTTTGAACACAGTAATGCTTTGGTTAAAAACTTGCAAAAAGAAAATAAATGTACTAATTTTTTTAAAATGGCATACTTACAATTGAAAAAGAAAGGAAAATATGTGGACCATTAGATGAGTGACAGCGCAAAATTTAAGCAAACTTATACGAAACCTTTCATAAAAGGCCAAGAAATACTCAACATAGAGGATTAAAATTCTAACCAATGCATTTTCAGTACTACTTTAAAATCTTGTGAGATGTGATTCGACGCAGTTAGAAGTGATACATAATTTCTACTAGTAAGATGAGTTAAGAGTCTTACTCCGGAAATCCAAAATCCAGAACATTTGAAAGCCTGGAATTTTTTGAGGGTCACTATGATGTCACAAGTGAAAAACTCCATACCTGAGCAGAGGTGAAGCTTACAGTCAAAATGCAGGCTCACAGAAAGACCATGTAAAACTAACTTTCATTATGTGTATAAGGTGTATGTGAAACACAAATGAATTTTCTATTTAGAATTGGGTCCTTTCTCTGAAATAGCTCATTATGTATATGAAAATATTCTGAAATCTGGAAAAATTCAAAAATTGGAAATATTCCTGAATGCAAGGACTTTGGATGAATGATGCCTATCTTGTAGTAAGTGAAATTTGCTATGTACTATGAAAAGGAAAATGTTTCCAAATGTCTAGGAACTATGAGGAATTGAATTTCTTCTTCACAGCATTGGGGGCAATGTAGCTTATTGATACAAGTATGAATTTTAGAATCAGGCCAACCTGGATCAAAATTTTAATTCAATTTCATGTTAGATTTGGGAAAGTATTCATTCCCTTTGAGCCTTGAGGTAGCTTAATTTGAATATGAGTACTAAAAATAAGGAAGTAATTGGATTGCTCAATATTAAGTAGTAAAATCACTGTATCCATTTTAAGTCAGTGCTTTTGCATTATTAATCAATCAAAAGTCCCAAGGTGGAACTATACAATTTCATGTGGTTGAATCTTAGGAGAAGGAAAGTCTCACAGGGATAAGAAAGACCCAGAACTTACAGGGCCTATAAAGAACTTTTCTGGGCTTTGGCTATGATCTTTAATGAAATGAATTCAAAAGCTTTTAAATAAAGATTTAATATGAACTTGCTTACATTAAAAAATATCCCTCTGTGTCAGACTTCTCATCCAAGTCTGTCCAGGGTGAACAGATCCCCTGAACTAGGTGCCCGCAGATGTATAAGAAAAGTAAGAAAAAATCAAACCAAAAGAGCCAAAATTCTGTGATCACATGCTAGCAGCATCTAGGACTGACTGACTTCTTTTTTTTTTTTTTTTTTTTTTTTTTGGTTTTTCTCCGGTACCGGGAACCGTGGGACTGACTGACTTCTGATTGCCATCTTCAGTAAGATTTTATTCAGAATCAACCCAGGAGGCAGCAGAGGAATTGGAGGATATCAGCTGTTTTTGCAGGATAAATACAAATCAATTATCATAGGAATGAGACCTGACCAGTAAGCCATCATGTTATCTTCCTTGCCCATATCTCAGCAAAGCATCTAGTATTGATCCTGGGGCTTACAGTGCTTATTCTAGACTTCCTCAGAACCCAACAATCATGGCTTGGTCAGGCCTCAGGCAATACACAAAACAGTAACTAAAGAATGTCCTTCTCCACTCTTCTGGCTTTAGTGCTGTCAGTACGCTAGAATCAGGATAGGCAGGAAGGGCAGAACTCTAGAGCTCTCTTAGGAGGGGTCTAAGTGAAAGGTGGCACTTCCATTCCTACATTGGCCAAGGTTTCAGGTAAAATAGGCCTATGGGGAAAGACAGGGAGATGTACAAAATGAAATGTCTGTTACAATAACACCAGAAATATCAAGTATAAAAATAATTCACTCAGGAATTCGTGAGAGTCAAGTGAACTGATTGGAATCACTGGTGTATGGTTAAATCCGTTCTGGTCTCTCCAAAGTCATTGTGAGGTAGAGAAATCAGAAAAGATGAGAAATTTATAGTGAGCTATGAGGAAAACCAAAACAGATAAATATAATAAAAGAGAATAAAATACACTGAGGAGGAAACAGTATTCTTTGGGCCAGTACTGTTGTTCTTCAAGTAAGACAGCTAAGAACTGAGGATTGAACTGAGATATGCAACATGAACATCTCCCATGACCCTAACAATCCCAGCTGAAATAACTGAAACAAGATCCTGGTGGTGGTGGGTTTACTAGAGAATAGGGAAAGGAAAGGAAAATAAGAGAAATCAAATATTGGTGTATATTTGCTTCAAAGTATTTTGGTGAAAAAAAATTGGAGAAAATCAGTGTAATACTAATTTGTGCAGGAAGTGAAATCAAGATTGCTATTTAGTGTGTATGGCTTCTGTTTCACTCTATGGACACATAGCATGCTTAGAAGTTAGTAGTAATAAACCTGTAAAGAAAAGAATTATTGATGTGGAGAAAAAGTATAGTAAACTAAGTTTTTTCTATTTACTCACTACAGAAAATTTGAAATACAAACAAAAGCAGGCTATTAAAACAAATTTTTTACAGATGTGCAGCAATTTTGACAGTAATGAGCATGATGTCAATCCCATTTACTGAGCAAACTCTCTTAGTTTTTTGGTGTATTTACTTATTATGTTAGAATTAATTTTTGCAGGTTTCAAAACAAATTTTAGACATTCACTTCATTAAACTTTTAATATGCATTTCTGGACAAAAATCATATTGAAATTTTACAGTACAATATGCCACTAAACCTAACAAACAATCTTAAACAATTAGTATTATTTAAATATTATTTAATATCTGGTTTATGTTAAAATGTTTTTAATTGGCTCAAAACTTTTTTATGCTATATATATTTAATTTGGTATACTAATAAAGACTGTGCAATTTTTTGTTGAATATTCTTTATAACATTCCTCCATTTCTTCTTCCTCTTTAATCTTTCATAGATTAGAAACCAGGTCTACTTTATACATTTGGCTGATTAATTTCCTGGTAAATTACCTTGTTTCTCTTTCCTTTCCTATAGAAAAATGTAGTTAAACTTATAGGGTTACAAGATAATGGTGTAATTTTGTTCTTATTTGATAAGATCTTACACAGTATGCTTTATGCTGTGTATTCCATTGAGTTATAAGACATTAATGCCTATATGACCTCTCTTGGCAATGCTAATATTGCTCAGTAATGTTTAGCTAAACCTTCGTTATAACATTCCTCATCAACTTTTTATCAAGTGATTTTCCCATCCACTGATGAGTGTTGTCTAAGTTCATCATTACATTTTTCAATGTGTTTAGACAATTTACTATGCTTTTTGTTACTTTTATATTTTATGTTGTTTGTTATCTGTTTCCTTTGACATGGTTCCACTGGTCTTTGAAAGCTTCCTTGCTTTTTAGAACACAAAAGGAGTCCCAGGTTCATCTTGGATTTTGTCAGGACCAGTTCTGCAACGAGCTCTACCTCAGACCATCTCCAATAATTCTGTGCAGAAGGAAACGGCCTTTGGAAAGCATACACTGTCGGCTCATTCCAAAGTCAGAGAGTCCCTTCCAGTCAGTGATTAGGCCTCTGCTTTTCTCCAGTATCTCTCTTGAGTATACATCATTTCTTTATTCATATGTGTAAATTTTAATGTTCATATTTTAGCAAAACCAATACAGAAATTTTAAAAATGACAATTCTAATTGCCTTATAAATATTCAAAGCTTATTTTGGCCAAAACTAAGATCAACATCATGCTTGCCAATTCTCTCTCTACCCTATTTTATTAACTTCCAGCTTCTTGTTGCACAGATTCTAATGATTATGATTTTTCCCCAGTTTAGTGACTCACCTTTATTGATGCCTTGGACCTATGAAGTCCATGCAACTGTTCTAAATGACTTGCTTATAATCTTAATTTATAGTCTTTTACATTTTGTAGCAGAAAAGCATGCTTAATTCTGAAAGCCTTGAAAAAAATAGCAAAAATTTTTACAAAATGCATATTTCAATTACAAATAACATGATCAAAGAATGACCAGCTATTACAAAATGTCTTAAAATTGTCCATGTTCCTTTTTCACAACAAAATATGCTTAAAAAGTAATGTGTTTATTTTAAAGAGATTAAAAGAAAATAATAGCAACATAGACAAAAATAAAACAAAGCAAAGACAATAAAAATGAGTCAGGGTTTCAAAACAACATGATAGGAATTAACAGTGGCTGTTATATTATGTATTGTTATCTTCAACAAAGGGGCTCAGATTACCAGATGCAAGAATGGAAGATTGATTAAACCATTAAAGAGAATAAAATATAATAATAAAAACATTAGAAATCTTACAGAGCTTCACTAAACAAGAAGATAGAAATTCACCAGTGGTTGCTATCTTGCATATTGTTGTCTTTAAATTAGTTGTTCACATTACCAGATATAAGCATGCAAAATTAGTCAAAACAATTAAGTATTAACTGTTCCTTTCAATAAACCATTAGATATCAGAAGTAAAATTATTCCTATTTTTCTTTTTCCCTTTCCCTCATCCCAGTTGGTCCTTCCTTTGAGCATTTTATTTCCCTTTCATATCATCTATTGTACATTTTAGGTTTTATTTACTCTTTCAGGTTCTCACACTAAGGAGATAATATGACATTTACACATGTGGGTCTGATTTATTTCACTTATGAGTATGGTCTCTTCTTGCAAACATTTACCTATGAAAGCGAGTTTATCATTTTTTATAGTTCAGTAATATGCCATTCTATGAAAGTACCGTGTCTTTTTTATCCATTCCTCAGTTGATGGGCATATAATTATTATTCTTATTTGTATACTATCTTTGAAACTACAAGAAAATATGTGAAATATTTCCAAGTTAATTTTATACGTTTAAAGAGGATTGTAGAAAATTAGCACAGAGCTTGGATAACATAGGTAATTAAAAATATTAACTAAGAGTAGTACAAATATTTTTATTAAAAATGTGGTTTCTATTAAATCATTACACAATAGAGTTTGCATTTAAGAGCCTCATTTTAGGGCTATGAAATTCATATGGGATCCTCTAGTCATGATAAGTAGGGTCATCCCTTTCTGAATAATGAACAAATATCTTGGCAACATGGTAAACATTTGGCCTTTTTGCGTAATTCTTAATTCATTTCATACCATCAAGAACAGCAACAAAGTAAGTTGCAAATCACTGCCAAGAAATTACTGCCTGAAACAAAATTTTTCTCTCAGAATATTTTAAACATCCTTAAAAATTTGATTTTATTGTTCATTGGATAGCTAAATTTAAAAATTCAATTTAGATCATAGCTATTGTAGTATAACTAATATTTTAATTTAAAATAATTTTGCATCCTGATTAACTAAGTGAAATATACAGCGATAACAGGATTGTTTTTCATACATGATGTGTTCCTCTGAGATGAACAATTAGTCTTTTCCAGATGAAGTGAAGGAAAAGTCCCAGGTTGTATTGTCAGGAAGGTTTGATGCAAATGACAGGTATTCAACATAAGTTTTCACAAAGTGTGGCACTAAAATAATATCAAGTACTCAGTATAGGGTTGTACCTAAATTAAAGATAGTCTTTTGATTATCCAAGCAGTCTAGATTCTATTAGAAATAGAAAATCAAATATTATCAGAGTCTTTTCTCTCTTTAATGCTGATTTACCAGTTAACATCACCAGTTTGCTCTCAATTTACTTTCTGTGTCTCTGACTCTGTCTCTGACTCTGTCTCTGTCTCTGTCTCTGACTCTGTCTCTGTCTCTGTCTCCGTCTCAGTCTTGTTGTCAGTTTCGGTCTCAGTCTTGGCCTAGGTCTCTCTGTGTCTGTGCCTCTGTCTGTCTCTGTCTCGCCTTGCTCCTTCTCTCTCATTCTCCTTCCTTTCCTTCTTCACATGTATTTGACTATGTATTTCCTCTCATCTTACTCCCATTAGATGTCTCTCATCTATAGCACTTCATTTCTCTCACATTAGATTTCTTAGTTTACTTCCCTTTTTTTTTTTTGGTCTTTTTTTTTCCGGTACTGGGAATCAAACTCAGGACCTTGCCCTTGCCAGGCAGGCGCCATGCCGCTGAGCTAAATCCACAGCCCATCTTAGTTTATTTCCTATCATCTTTATTCTGTTATATTTCCAGCATTTCATTTTCCTGTTTTGCTATCTTCTCTATCTTTGTCAACTCTCTCCTGCTCATCTCTTTTATTACACCTTTCTTGTCCTTCTTTTCTCTCTCTCTCTTTCACCATCCTCTCTGTTTCTATTTTTCCCACTTGTCTTTCTCTCATATCTTCTTTAAGATAGAAATATGTTTAAAACTAGTTTCCCATTACCAGTCTTTTAACATTTGAGCCTATGAAAGAACTCTGTCTTCTGTCTCTGCCTTAATAAATTTCTGGAGTCCACAGCTCAGCTCAATTTGACTTAAATACTGAGCTTAAGCCTATATTTAGATGGAGCTGTCCCTATTATTGATTATTATTGATTTGGTTTACATACTTGCTGCCTAAATCCAAATGGACAGAGCAAGATGTAGATGACATTTCTCAAACATTTGTCAAACAGAAAATAGATGTCCAATGAATTCTCTGATAAAGATGGTATTTAAACAGGCTTATGTTTTGATGTATTTGAATATCAATAGTGTATCAATTGTAAAGGGTAAAAATAAGGTCTGGGTAGAATTAGACAGGAAGAGATATAGCCATTATTTGATTGACAACGTCCATTAAAGTACTTCAAAGCAAAAATGCTTCCCAGATTAGACTCAGGAGAGTCTAACCTGGCGGGGGACATTAAATAAAATGGCTCACTAGTAGTAAGATATCAAATAGGAGAGATTATATGTTTAATTTGATGTTCACAGTTCATGTGCTATGTAGATGTTAGACCTTTCAAGAAATTATTTCAAAACAATGGAATTAACTTTAGAAGATACAGACCCTCAAAGATATCAAAGCTGAAAAAGAGACTGAAGCTTAATCAGAAAGTTAAAGTGCCCAGTAACTACAGCTAAAAAGAAAGAAGGAAGAATAATAGTGGCCACAACAATGTTTTACATGCAAAGAACTGAAACAGAAAATATTTTTTTTATTTTAAAGAGAGTAGTAAATAAGAAACAAACAAACAAAAAAAAAATAGAACACTAGCAGCATACCAGTATCACAAACATAAACAAACCAAAGCGAGAACATTCAAAGTGATACAGGGTCTAGAGACAAAGTAATGCAAATCAGCAGTGGTTGTTACATTACATATCGCTATCCTCAACTACATTGCTCAGATTACCTGATGTAAGAATGAAAGATTGCTCAAACCATTAAAGAGAATAAGAAAATAATTCTTTGATAAAACAGTAGAGATAATGCAGAGTTTCACTAAACAAGATGGTAGGAGTTCACCAGTGTAATACCAGTGTATATTGTTACCTTCAAATCAGTTGCTCAGACCACCAGACACAAGCATGCAAAATCAATCAGAATGCAAAAATTTGTAAACATTAACTGTTCATTTCAATATACCATTAGACATCAGCGATACAGTTATCGCTGCTATTCATATATATAAAATATTCATATTTTGTCTTCATTCTTTCTTTTTTCTTCTTTCTCTCCTCACAGTCATTCCTTCCTTTGAGCAATTTCTTTCCTTTTCCTAACATCTACTGCATGTTTTGAGTTTTACCTAGTCCTTCAGGTTCCTACACCAAGGAGAAAATATGATGTTTACATGTCTGGATCCAACTTATTTCACTTATGAGTATGGTCTGTAGTTGCATACATTTACCTACAAAAGCCTGGAGTTTATCTTTTTTTAATAGTTGAGTAATACTCCATTGTTTAAAAATACCCCAACTTTTTTATCCATTCCTCAGTGGATGGGCATCTGGGTTGTTTCCAAGATTTAGCTATAACAAATTGTGCTGCTATAAACATGGCACACATATATCACTGTGGTATGATATCTTTAATTCTTCTGGGAAGATACCCAGAAGGGGAATAGCTGGGTTAAATGGGACTTCCAATCCTAGTTTTGTGAGGAATGTCCAGACTGATTTCCACAGTGGTTTCACCAATCTACACTCCCACCAACAGTGGAGTAGGGTTCCTTTCTCCCCACAGCCCCTCCAACATTTGTTATTGGTTGATTTCCTGATGATAGCCATTCTTTCTGGGGTGAGATGGAATCTCAGTGTTGTTTTAACTTGCATTTCTCAAATGACTAATGACGCTGAACATTTTTTCATGTATTTATTCACCATTAGTATCTCTTCATTAAAGAAATGTGTATTCATCTCCGATACCCATTTTTGGATTGCGTCTTTGATGAAACAGAAAATATTTTTAACTAATTAAAATAATCATGGACAAATGTGTACAAGGTGTCAAGGTATATGGATATAAATGTAAGGAAGTTGCCTTCTGATCCCTTTGAACTACTGCTCATCCTTGGCAATATACCCTGCTCGGCATATACTTGCTTTCCTTTAAGCATCGTCATGTGTTAGTACTCCTCACACAGCATGAGTTATTATGCCTCCATTTGTGGAAAAGACTGTGAACCAACCAATCAATACTTCTGTCTTTACTATCTTTATGCATGAAATTTTAAGCTTGAATAAAATAATGATGAAAGGAGGCAGCATCACCAAAGAAATCTTATGACTCACTGGAACTAAATAAACCACTATCCAGAGTAACATAGAGTCTCCAGAGAATATTAAAGGAAGATACACAGTGATTTTTAAGCTATTTGAACAAGGCTTTTTTCCTGTGCTTCATATTTTCCATGGTTTTCAATTTTGTTCTGTAGTCTACAACATGTGGGGGAAATCATTTATCACCTTCAATTTTTGCTGTTTTAAAAACAATTTACTTAACATTGATTTAATAAACCCTCTTTGCAAAAATACTGTCTAGCAGAAATATCTTAGATATTTCAGGAAAATCTAAGGTAAAACTGGTGCCATTGGCAACTCCTGGGAGAATGTCTACCTACAGATCTTGGGGTTGGGGACAACCTTAGGTAATATGTTCAAGAGTGAACAAAATTTAATTATGCAGGAAAGATCATGGACTGTGAATACAGGTTAAGACAAGACCAGATGGTTATAAAGACAAGGACAGTGATCACTGGAAAGGAAGCAAGAAGGCCCTTAAAAGGTACTGAAAGAATTTACAAAAGTTGGAACTTGATGTATATTGACACAAAATTGTTAGCCATTCCCTTTAAATACTTCCAAATCTCAGTGATAATTTGCATGGACTCAGGTCTTCTTAGGTTCAGTTCCATCTCTACTTCCAGAAAAGTTCCAATGGTCCAATATATAGACCTGCCACTGAGTGAACATTATGGTTTTTATCTGATTTTCTCCCAAGAACCTGTTACATTTCTAGGCAGGGCTTTCATCATGAGGACATGACAACTGACTTTGTGTTTGGAAATGAAGCTTGGTTAGCTAAAGGTAGGTCACTGAGGACATGACCTGGAAATGAATACCTATCTCCTGAGTCCTCTCTTCTATTTCTCCTTCCTGGCCACCACAACATGAGTATATTTTCCTCTGCCAGACTCTTCTACCATATTGTTTCTGCCTGGAACCAGCAAACTCTGGAGTGGAACCTCGAAAAACCATTATCCCACATAAACCGCTCCCTCCTTAAGTTGTAGGTGTCACATATTTTGTTTCAGTGAAGAAAAGGTGACCAAGGCAGGATCTGGCATCAGAGAAGTGAAGTTACTGCCAGAACTACAACTCAGCACGTGGCTGAGAAGCTTTAGGAACTGCTTCACAGAAGGTGTTTGGAAAGATTTGGAGATGTAGGTTAGAGAATCCCTACAGTGCTGTAAGCCAAGCTTGATGGGTAATTCTGGTGAGAACTCAGAAGACTAGAACGCTGATAGAAATTCAGATGATGCACACAAGTCATGGGAGGTTTCAATTGGAAATAAAGACTTCATTCACAGTTGGCCTCCAGGATTCTGTGGTAAACTGTGTTAGAAAAAATTGTCTATATTTATTCATATCTGCAGAGTTTGCAAGAGAATGAGATTAATGGTAGTGAATTAATCTGGTGGAGAAAAATTTCAAGGTGGCCCAACATTCATGCTATAGCATAGGTACTGTATGCTGCTTTCAATAAGACCTATAATGGGAACAGAAGCAAAAAAGCAATAATTTGAATAACTTTACTCGTGACCAAAATCAAATGCCTGTAAAATCAGGATATATAAAATTTTGTCCATAGATAGGTTGGTTGTTGAAAAGTTTAGCAATAAATTGAATCCAAGTATTTTACATGATGACACTAGGAAAGATACCTTGAGAGCATTTCATGAATTTGCAGTATCCTCTCTTTATAGGCTCACAGATGCAGAAGTGAAAGATTTTGCTTGGAGAAGAGAATGATATGGAACTCAGTTCATTCAGGGTCAGGTAAGAAAAATTTTCATTGCACTCAGCCATCCATGCAGTCAGAGGCCTCAGCAACCATGACCCAAGTGGACCCACTACTGATTGATCTGGTGGTAGACCTTGACATCATACATATGATGCAGCTATATAGAGATGCAAAATATAAGAGTTATGGAATTGGGGAGGCTTCTACCCAGATTTTAGAAGACCTGGAATCCAAGCAGTGTATAACTGAAAAGGGAGTGCATGAAGTTGTGAGAGTGAATCTAAGGTGGAGTGGAGACCCTAGAAAGTTGGGGAAGCCAGGAACATGAAATATCCATTGAAGAGCATCACAAGCAGTGATGAAAGACAGCCCAAGAGAAAAGCCCTGAAGACAATAACTGGCAATGCTGTATGGTGGTACTACTGACGCCCTTTAAAGTTTACATCTCCCCCACAGCTTGCCATTGATTTTTATAGAACCTCACAGCTACATGTTTATCTTAAGTCTCAGAGGACACTTTGAACTTGGACTTTTCAGCATTGCTAAAACTGTTAGAACTTTGACAATTTTTAGAGGTGGTCTAAATGAATTCTGCATAAAGAGATGCTCATGAGACTCTTGAGGAACAGCTAGATCTCAGCCATGACACACCAGCCTGGAGCCCTAAAAGATTTAAATACACTTCTTTAGGCAAAATGCCTTTACTCTATCTCTAGTAGTCACCAAAGTCTTAACCATTCCAACACTGCTAAAAAGCAAAGATCAAGTTATCTCAGATTGAAGGCAAACTTAGCTGGGAGCCCCTATGAAAATGAAAGAGGCAGCCAGGTGGAGTGGCGCACGCCTGTAATCCCAGCACTTGGGAGGCTGAAGCAGGAGGATCGTTGAGAATTCGAGACCAGCCTGTGCTACAAAGTGAGCTCCAGGCCAGCCTGACTGCATAGCAAGACCCTGTCTCAAAAAGACCAAAAAAAATGGAAATATATATTTTAAAAAATGAAAGAGGCAGTTAAACACTTCTGTTATACCATGTCACAAGGTAAGCATTCCCATTACAAAAGAGGAACAAGAAGGATAGAAACCAGTGACACCAAAGCAATACAAAACTCACCAAGGCAAACATTAAATCCTGTAGTCCTCTGTCCATCATCTGGGGCAAGCTATGGAGAATGTTAATTTGTCTTAGTCACTTTCTCATGACTAAGTACAGTGAATGGTAGCTGCTCAAAAGAAGGCAGCTACCAATGATGTTTATACTCACCACATTGTCTTAGTTTTGGCTACTATAACAAAATATCTTAGAACTGGGCTACTTTAAAGAACAGGGTTTTGTGTTTACCATTTTAGAGACTGTGATATCCAAAATCACAGTGCTGACAGATCTTATGTCCTATAACCGAAACTCTCTGCTTAGTAAATGGTACCTTCTGTCCATATATGAAGTCATTAATAATATTGATGAGGACTCTGTCCACATGATCTAATAATCAAAGTTCTCACTTCCCAATACCATATGTTGAATGTTAGGCTTCAACCTATGAATTTGAGAGGAACACATTTATTTATATACATTATAGGACTCAATCTGATGACATATTTGTAATATAGGTGAGAGACCTGTCAACTTTCTCAGCCTTGATATCAGTTTTTTGATTGCACATCAGAATCGTTTTGGAAATGGTAAAAGGTGCAAAACTGGTCATCATTACAGAACTATTAGTCTGATTACCAGGGATGGGAACAAATTCAAGAAAAATATCTCTCCCAAGTGAATTTTATAAACCACACAAACCTAAAGTTTTTGTGGCAACAACTTGATATATAAGAGAAATAATACATTAAACACAAGCTGATATCTTACATGTAGTCAAACCTTGAGGCACAAAAAGCTGAAAAGTAACAAAAACCTTTCACAGTGTGATATAAGTTAGACCTGAAAATTACCTCAATATCACATGAATGAAACACACATAGTTCAGTCAAGCTATCAAAAAAAGTCATCATTGAAGGATAATGTAGTTGCAAACAAAGTGACACACAGAAAAATCCACATTACAGGTTCTATGCAAAAAAGAAGCTGCTGCATAATAGTATGTATAGTGAGATCTCCTTTTGAAAGAAAAAAGATAGGGTGAAACCTGAGACTGAGGGCTGACAAAAAACCAGGCCCAAGGATGAAGACACAATGGCTAAGGACAGTGTTCCAATCATCCAGTGAAGAGGGATCCCATGTTAATCTTTAGGGGGCCTCCTGCCCAGAAATGTGATGAAAACAAAATGATAGACAACCAGTACCACCAAGCCTCTACTCCTGCCCCTCCAAATAATGTCTTTGGTTTGCTTGTGCTGATAAAGTCAGAAAAGTTATGATTAATAGTGCTTGAAAAAGTACCTATTCTACATGCTTTAAGTTTCTATAGGCCCATTTCTAGCCAAACTATGTGACCCCATAGCTTTATCTCATCTTGGCCTATAGTGGTATAAGATGTGGTCATTTTCATGTTTGAACCCTTTATACAAAGAGCCTCAGAGGCTGTCCCTCAGGAGCTTTCTTCTAAAAACACTTTGGATTTATTTCTTGTGCTCTTGAGTTCATTCTTCAGCATCCTGAGACACAAACTTGGTTTGTGTGTGTACCCTGCAAAGTGAGTATAGTACTTTTAAGGTAAGTGTGTAGTTACTCAAAATACAAATGCAACACAAATGCTATAATGCAGTAACACTTAATGAGGAAGTGAATGCAAAACGTCATAGAGAAAGAAAACAAACGGAGATGGAAGTGGATAATTTTACCAGGAATTATATAGGAAAAGCTTCCTCCATGGGATCATGTGATTTATTCTTAAATTGGTGCCAGTTGTGACAAATGCAGATAAAGGACTTCCTTATTGGTCTTCTTGTCTGCTAAAATAAAGCTTACAACTTCTTTTAGGAGGGAAATTCATTTATCCTTTGGTCACTGTATTCTAAAAGTCTTTCTGATAATACAAAAACTAATAAAAATAAATTGTGTTGTCATGAAAAAAACTTAAAATTGCTTTTAATGATCATTTACTTTACCAATTCAGTAAAATTAGTGGACAGGTTACATTTTATTGCAAAGAGATCATAATACCAAATGAAAAATAAATGAAATAAAAAAGGAAAAGTTTGTCTCTTAGAATTCCTTTAGGATTATTTAATCCTTTTCTGAAAACCATTATTATGTAGAAATTGCTTTTATATTTCATGATAGCAAAAGGATAGTTAAATAAATAGTGTAATTGAGGTGATCTTTCATCAATATTGCTCAGTGTTCTCACAGAAATAAGTGGTCATACAAAGTGATAGGGCATTCATTTCTTTTACTGTACTTGCTGTTTTTAATACAGAGAAAATATATGTCTTTAAAAGAGAAAATGGTATTGCTTGATGTTAGAAATTATAATTTTATTTGAATGAAAAGAATGATGCAATAAGTGCTATTTTTCTCTCATCAAAAACAAATTAAATCCTCACTGAAAGCTTGCATTTCAATATGTAATTCTTTGAAGAAACACCTGAATCAGACTAAAGTAAGAGACGAAGTATAGTCCTAGAATTCTGTAATGATTCCTAGTCTTGTGATTAACAGAAAATACAGTACTCCAAGGAGAAATAATTATTCAAAACTCATTTTCATTTCCCTAAATATGTTATTTTTTAAAACTACCTAAAGAGTCACATTGAATATTAAACTTAATTATTATCATGACATGAACATGATGTATTTTAGATAAATAAAAAAATGGCTTACCTTACAGATGGAATAACATAGACATTCATTTATCTTTGAATTGGGAAACATTATTATTTGGTAAATGTATCAAATGAATAAGAATAGTATTGTTGGTGTAACTGTGGTAAATGGAGTATTGTTGAATAGTATTGTTGGTGTAACTGTGGTAAATGGAGATATTAAATGTAAATTGTAAAATCTGTGGTAAAAACTGTGGTAAATGGAGTATTGTTGAATAGTATTGTTGGTGTAACTGTGGTAAATGGAGATATTAAATGTAAATTGTAAAATCATGCCTTAAACATACAATTACCATTCCCTTTTGGACTACTGTAATTAAGGACAAATAGATTTTTTTTAAAAAAGAGGCTGTGTTCAGTGTACACATACAACAAGGGCTCAAATGCAGTCTGTGGCCACCAGGGGCTAGTTAATGCCAGTTCCTATCTGGACGCAGCTCACATTGTTCATGTCTTTAGATGCTTTGATTATCACTCCCAGGTGTTAGCATTTTGAGATAGAAATCTTCTAAGAGATAGTTTTAGCTTAAAACAACTTGCATGAAAATATTTTTCCCACATGATGTGATACTATTGAGTATATACTGAACAATTGAATGAATCTTTTTGAAAATTCTTTGTTACATGAAGATGATGGAAAATGAAGAAGAGTTTCTCTCTGTCCTCCTAAATTAAGCAGTTTCTCCCAGCAGCTCTCTTGGTCTTCAGAAACAAATAGTTCATTACCATAGCAGGTTATCCCATTTATCTAGGGTACTTTGCAGCATCAATGGCCTCTACCTATCAGATGCTGATGGCATCATCCATCCCCAATTATGACAACCAAAATATACTCCAGACTTTGCCAAATGAATTCTAGGTGGAGAAACAGAACAAGCTCTGGGTGCATATACCACCAGTGCAGTACATGAAAGCAGAAACAAAGCATTAAGATATAAAGCCCTGAAATTTCAGTAGAGAAATTCCTTAGTGCTATGGGGAGATGGTTTTGGAAGCTGAGAGAAAGTATTTTGTATCGCTTCACAGAAATGTAAAGTAGATCAGAAAAGGTTAGAATTTTGATGGGTGTAGTGTACCTCCCTGGTTTCTCGTTGTACCCCAGAGAGAAATGGCGGTGGGTATGAGAAAAATAAAGACAAGAGACAAGAGCTGGAGTCAGGTGGAGTTACCTCGTGCCTGATGAGCAGGAGGACTGACTTTAACAGTAGGGGCATTTATTTTATACACTTGGAAAGTTAGTATCATGGTGGGGGTAATGTTGCCTAGCGACTAACGATTGTAATTGTCCGGCAGGATACCTTTTCTAATACTGAGGTAGCTTGACTGCTTGACCAATAACCAGCTCCAGTTGCTCCCAACAGACGGGTAGAAAGAGGGTAAGTAGCACATTAAAATTGCTTTAAAAACTTTTAATGAGAAAGGCATTCAGCCTCTGACCCTGTTATTATAGATTTATAGTATAAGTAGTACTTAAAAGTCTCATTCTGTGTTTTAATTTACTGCACTGTCATTTTCTTAATAGTCATATCATAGGAGCATTTCTTTATCTTAACCTTTGTGCTTTCCGATCCATGCTTGCCTTGTATTAACAATGAATTAGTATTTATAGTATAAGAGTAATCCTCATTATTATTATTCCTGGTTTGAGTACTTGATACAGTTCATAATGCCTATATCTCTAAGTGCTCACATTACTTCCACTTTATTAAGAAGATCAAACATAAAATTTGTTCAACCTTCAAGGTACCTAATCAATACGCCGTTAAGTTTTGAAACTTGGCCATGTGTTTCTAGAACTCATGCCCTTCACTGTGTCTCCCGGGTGAGTAAGTGTTCCTACTTATTGCTGCCACCACTGATGAATGCATAACTTAACTTGGGATGATAATTACTCCAGAGCAGCCGCAAATGCATGGCTTGAATATCCTATTAAGTAAATCTGTGGAAGCATTCTTAATTCAAACAGTATTATTTAAAATCACTAAAACTCATTCACTACTCTGAAATTGTTTGTAAAATACTTTATTGACCCCATTTTGTATATTGTCAAACTGAAAGATCAAAAATTTGGAGCACCATCTATATTTTCAGACCTTGTGTCAGACAAAGATTAGGAGCAAGTCTTCTACATTACATTTCCACAATTGACTTGAAGTCCTGTGTTGCCTGCTATGCTTATGCTTATCAAACATTTCCAGTAAATTAAGATTTAAGTATCTAGCATCCATTTCATGGATCTGCTTTTCTAATTTTAGATTTGCAAAAGTTTGCTCTCCCATCACCTTTTTTAGTCACTTGCCTTTGTTTATACCTTTATTTCACAACCATATAAAAATCCCTTCCCTAGGGAAAAAAAAAAAGCCTCACATCCTGACTCCCAAACACAGCCTTCCTCTCTAGGATATATTGTTGTTTTCTTTGCAATACTATTTTTGAAGGCCTTTCCCTGCTATTGTCATGTGTTTTTGAAGAAGTTCTTATATCTCCAACATCTTAAACAGCTACAGATGTTATGTTTGATTCATAATACATTATATAATCTTTATAATCATAATACATTATATAATCTTTTTCTTAAAGGGGAAAAGAACAAGAAACACAGAAGCTGCCTAATATTAAATTTTCATTTTTCATATTTCTCTGTCCATCCTTTTTCAATATTCTCTTCATAGACATCTAGCAAATCTTTTTAATTTTTCACAATTTCATTAAAGTATTTTTGCTTATATGATTCACGTACACACTCATTGTTAATAAAAATATCTGTGAAGCTGGGAATGGTGGTGCACACGCATAATCTCAGCATTTGAGAGACTGAGGCAGGAAGATTGCCATGAGTTCAAGGCCAGCCTAGGCTACACAATGTGACCCTATCTCAACCCCTCCCCATAGGGCTAGAGAGACTCCATTTTGTTTCTAACTCCATATTAAGTCACTTAAAGTTCACGTAAGCTCTAGTTCCCCCCAGTTACCTTGGTTAGTTTTCAACTCAGAGCAGAGAAGAGTCATAAAATGGGAACAGAACAAACAGGACAAACTGGGAAGTGGGCTAAAAGTTAAACTGCAATGGTCATTTGCAATTCAGCTGTCTGACCTGCTGGGAGAAGTAAACTTTGTGATAATTGTGTGACATTCCTACAAGATTCTAAAACATGAGGTAATGGTTACTATGGAAACTTAAAATGTACTTAAACCAAACATAAGACCCAGATTGAGGTGGACATCTTCTCTGGCTCCTGGTTAGAGGCTGTCCATCAGTCAGCTCAAACAGAGCTTTGTCTATTCCTGCTTTCTCAGTTTTCTTGTGGGTGTCTTTCTTGATGAATGTCCTTGCTGTACCACACCTAGAAAAGTATTTATGTCTCCATGCACTCATTCATCCATTTACTAATGCCTATTCAGCACCTTCCCTACTATGTAATTAAGCATTATGACAAGAGAAAACTAGTACATTTCTTGAATTTGTCTTCTTTTAAAAGAAGCAGATATGTAAATACACAATATTTCAAATGTACCATGATTTGATTATGTAAGGAAGGATGCAAAAGAAAGATCAACTTTGTCTAGAAATAGAAGAGTGACTTTCAAAAGATTCAAAATACAAGTCATCCTAGTACCAAGCATGTGTACCTACCACAGACACAGGAAGGTGGAAGATACGTTCATTTTACACAGTTGAGTAGTTGGTAACAGGTCAAAGTACAAATGTAACTGGACACAAAAGCAGAACTTCAAGGAGTTTTTGTTCAATACAAACATTTGCATTCAAACAGTTAAACAAGAATAAGGCATGACTGCATTGGAATCATGAAAAATTAGAACAGTTGAAGACAGATTATCAAAGAAAGTTTGATAGTCAGCTTAGTCAAGTAAAGCCATTAATGCCCGTGTCAAGATACTCGATTAGATTAAAACTTAAATGCAATAGAGAATAGGCAAAATTGTAGTGTTCAATTGTCAGTTGCCAGTGTTGCAGATCTATTTAAATTTTGAATAAACATATTAAATGCTAAATAAAAGTGACCTCCTGAGAAACACTTTGTATTGGAGGAGCCAATTTAACAACCTCCTCTCTGTCTGCCTTCACCACTTGGTCACAGGCATGACCTCAGCAAATAACTCAGTTAACTGAGTCCTGCTTTGTGTTTGTAAAATTCAGAAAGAAAAGAGTTACATCAATAGATCTCTGTGGGCAAACTTTAGCATGTATAGTCTCTTGTACCCTGGATGTTTAATAAATATTCACTTCATCTTGCCTGTTTCTGAAGCCCAAATAACTTCCTTTTGCTTTAACTGAAAGACCTGCACGTTAATTAATACTACAAAGAAATAATTTCCTCTAAATTTTTTACTGTCCTGAACCAAACTTCTAAAGATTTTCCATTGTAGAGAGGGTAAGAATGTTTGTGCTACATCTCTTCTATCACTGGTTCTTGATAGCAGTTATTTCTAATTAAAAAGGAAGTTCAGTGTGTCACACTCTCAAGAGCTTTCCTGATACTCCACAGTTAAGATGTGCGTCTCCCTATGCACCAGAGGTCCTGCTTACCCCTCTCTACCATGGTCCTGCATTGTGCTGTGTTGAAATATTTGTTTATGTGCCTGCCTTCTGTGCCAAAGGCTCTGGTAGAAACTGTGAGTCTTTGCTTTGTTCCCAGATAATTTTGAGCATACAGTGCAAGGCTTATCATTGTATATGATCAGGGGATATTCTTGAAAAAATAACATATCTTTAATTTTTCAGAAGGGTGTAACTTTATAGAAGCACCATAAATTAGAAAATATTTTCTTTATCAATGACTACTATTACATATTTACAAGTGAAAGTATTTTCATAAATTGTTTAGTCACCTTGCATATTCTAAAGTATCTTTAAAATAGGGGAATAAAATTATTATTTGTGAGTTTTCTGTTCAGTATATGGCTGACAAGATAACCTGAAAAACTCTTTTGAGTAACAAACACATAAATCTTAAAATATGTGTGGGGGGTGCACATATGCACACATGCACATGCATATGCATAAATATTTGGTCAGAAATAAAAGTAAGGAAATCCTAGCAATCTACCCTCAGCCCCATTTAAAACAAACAAACAAAAAACCTCTAGACAATGACTGCAGAGTTATACAAAAGCACTAAAGCTTATGCTTCCTTTAAATGCTTCTGTTGATCTTCTGCGGCTTAAGGTCTCCGTATCTTTGGCAGAAGGCACAAACTCTGGATGAGGAAGCTCAAAAGTGATCCTGAATAAATTTATAAAGCCTGCAAAAATGGAAATGGGAAATACAAACAAATAAATCCCAACTTGCTGCTACCATATGAAATTTTCTGCCCTCCCCAAAAGTACATGTTGAAATGTAATCTCCAATAGTATTAAGAGGTAAGGGCTTTTTGAGGTAAATTCATGCTGTTCCACCCACAGGTATGGAATTAAGCTTGAAGGAATCTATTAGCCCTTTGCATAATTTGAGGATACATAGAAGGCAAAATCTGTATGATACATGGAAAAGACTGAATTTGCCAGCACCTGGATCTTGGGCTTCTTCATCTCCAGAGCTGCAAGCAATAAATATCTGTAATTCATAAATTACTGAGTGTAGGGGCTGGGGATTTAGCTCAGCGGCAAAAGCGCCTGCGTGGCAAGCGCAAGGTCGTGAGTTCGGTTCCTGGTACCGGAGAAAAACCAAAAAAAAAAAAAAAACAAAAAACAAAAACATAAATTACTGAGTGTAAATTTGTCACAGCAACCCAAGCAGACTAAGACAGTTACAAGTTTAAATGTAATTCTTCATGTGTGTGAGCAGGGACCTTCTGTGGCACTCAAACTAGTTTTGAGGTGGAGGTTTCATCTGCATTGACTGTATTCTCCCTGTATTCTTCTGAATGCTCCCCAACAGGCAAATGAATAAAACCCCAGTGCTGCTGGATAAGTTTAGGAAAGTAGTTACAGTCAGTTATGTAATTAACTGTAGAGCCCTAAAATCAGCAGGCCTTTTTTCTGATTACTCCATGAATAATAAACCAGATTGGACCACATCTGCTTGCTTGAAACTACTAATATGCTTACAGTTGAATAGAAAAACCCTGATATTATTTCTAACTGGAGTGGTAGAATTAAAACAGAAGATATACGTGAGACAGAGATACCTGAGGCATAAATGATAGAGTATTTTCTCACAGTCAAATGCACACATAGTGATGGAAAAAAAACAGGTCTCAGTTCTTAGTAAACTAATCAGTGCAGTTCTTAGTAAACTAATCAGTGCAGGTTGCTACTGTTAAAAATTATGGGGATGGACCTTAGCATTTCAATAGAAAGGTAAGTAAATAGATTTTAAGTTGCCAAAATCCCAGCAGAGTCTCTTCTATGAATT